CTTTTGCAAATTTAAATATATAACTAGAAAAGATAAAAGGAGAAAAAAGATCTGAGGACAAGGACAGACAACTTTTATAAGGTTATTTTATTCTTTCATTAATTTAGCAATCATTTATTGGTCCCTTGATATATGCTAGCCCTATAGGTGACTCTGGGCACAGAGTATTAAGATAATCCCAATCTTAACACAGGAGAAACAGGCTAATAGAAGAAACATTACATTGTTTTAATCTTTAACTTTCACTGAGTATTTATATAAACTGTGAGAAATGAAATGAAATCCCAATGAAAATTATGAGAAAAGTAGAAAATGTCACTTTTAAATGATCCCTTTTTAAAGCAACTTACTTAAATCTCAAAACTGACAATCTTATAAGAGAGCACTATTAACATGCCCACCTAAGGAGAAGGACAGAGAAGAGTAGAAATTTGTGGAACATCCCAAAATAGAGTTGAAATCTAAGGATTGATATTCTCTCAATTATTGATTACAAATAATAAAAAAAAAGCACACATATACTATATGTAAGAGTTTAATGTGATGAGATATTATGGGGCGGGATTAAGAAAAAAAGTGACATTATCAGACTTACATTTTCACAAATATCAGTACACATGTTAATAGACCTTAGGGAGTTTACAGAGGAAAATAATTTATTGAAGTATTTTGAAAATATAAGAATGTGATTTAAATCCGGGCAATGAAAAAGTGGTAGAAACATATTTTGGGAAATACTTTGAAGGTAGTGTCCATAGATTGTATGTAGGTTTTAGGAAAAAAAGATTTAAAAAGTATTGCTTCTAGTTCCAGAAGTATTGCTTCTGGGTGCATGGAGTATTGTTTGACATGAGAGAGAAAGAAAACATGGAGAAGTTTGGGGGTAAAGAAAATAAAATTGTGTTCAAAAATATTTAATTTTGAGATGACATCAATCCAGTGGAATTGAAGAAATGACTGTGGTAACTGGAAACAGAGTATGGATTTCAAAGACAAGGAAGATAAGACTAGAGGCATAAATTTAGGATTTAACTGCACAAAGATAGTGTCCACATGGTCCTGGCTTTGTATGTAAATAACTTCCTGTGACTTTCAACATTTGCAGGTCAGAGAAAGGGAAAAAAAAACTAACATAGGAGTGTTAGAAATAGTGGCCAATTAAAGAGGAGGATAGTCTGAGAAATGTGGAATTATGGAAAGCAAATGAGGTTTCAATGGAAAAAAAAAAAAAAAAGGTCGTGGTCGACAGATGTTCCTGATACATCAAGTGCAAAGCAATGAGAACTAAGCATCAGGTCCAATATGATATAATTTATTGATCATATGAACATGGTCACTTAGAGGTAGTCATCATTTCTGACTTTTTGGAGATATTAGAAACAGTCTTATTTCCCAGTCTTATATTGTAAAACATACTATTAATAAAAATTGAATTTTCACAGTGAACCCATTAAGAGGCCAGGACTTTCTCCTAAACTCATATCCTTGCCAGCAGTAGTACTTGGCTATTATGTGATCTCTAAGATTAAGTTGATTACATATAGAAAGGAGCTAGAATATAGAAATAATACCAAAATATAGTCTAGCATTTGGCATTAAAATATAACTATTTTAGAATAAACTACATAATCACTAACTGTAAAATAAAATAATTGTAGGTTATTTTCCATAAAAATGACAGCCAGTAGACAAAGAATAGAGACACTGCTCTAACTTTGTCTATTTCTATTATTGATCCTCACTTACAAAGTAGCTTTCAAGAAACATTTTTTTTATTGTTCTGTCCTATAGCTACCTTCAGGAACTTTGCTAGGCAAAACCCTCAAGCTGTCTGTGGGTGCCTGTAGAGCTAAGGCAGCGAGGGACTGGTGTATAGCCTAAAATCATACCATTAAGCCCCTTGTCTAATTAGGTCTGAACTACTGCCTTCAGCACTCTGAACAGGGATTATATGCTTATTTCCTCTCTCAAAATATCACCAAAAGAAAAAAAAATATCCTTACAGAAAATATTGTCGCTCCAGATGGTGACTTTCCATCAATTAAGTAAACATAATTTTAGTTAACCCTTGGAAATCTTACCGTCAATCATTTCTCCACTTCTTTTGACCTATTAACTGTGAGAAATGCTAACGTGATCACCCATGATTACTTATATATGCATATTTATTGGACTTTTCACTAAAATGCACTGACACTAATAAGGGCCTTTCCTAAAATACACTGACACTAATTAAAACTGACACTTGAAAAAGACCAAGCTATTTTCCTGGTGAAAACTTTAAATCTATCTTGAATATAAAAGTGGCAAAATATGTAGATGGGGTAACCCCATTTTTGGAGACCATTCTATTACAGGGCACCCCTTCTCATCACCGTGGCAGTGACACTCCAGTTACCATTACTGGATTGGTTGCCCTCCACTGGATGTCTGCCTCCCTTCTATTGAGTCCTTAGATGCTAAAAAATTATACCTATTTTTAAACATTTCCAACATATATATATATATATATATATATATCTGAATTGCTGACTTTTAATTATCATGTATTTTCTTTAGTTGTAAGTATCAGAATGCTGTTGAGTGCATCCATCAGAAAATGGGCAAAGACGTCAGTGTATGTGGCTGCCTGTTAATCAAAGTACCAAACAAAAACTCCCCCTGGACAAGAAATTGGTCATAATTTGTTAAACTCATTGACTTGAAATTCCTTCTGGCTTCTCTATGAACCCCATCCCACAAAAATATTAATGCACATTGGAAAGAAGAATTTTTTTTAGGTGATGAATATATTTATTTTTCCTTCACCATATTTAGCATATTTATTATGTTATTTATATTGTTTATGTAGCTTTTCTTTTTTATTTTATATAATTCTTACATCTTTTTTCATCTTTGCACAATGTATGCATTTTCATTTTGGTTATATTCCCCAAACAGTTGCACCTCCCTCCTTTATTTGATTCTAGTCCTTCCTTTCCCTGCACTACCCCTTGCCCCCCATAGTGTATCTCTGGTTTATAGTTGCTTGTTGATTTTGATTTTTACTTTGTATTGATTAGTCTTTTTACCAGTCTCTTATTTAGGTTTTCTAAATTCCTACTATGAGTGAGACCATCCAGTATTTTTCTTTTTCTTTATGACTTATTTCACTGAGCATGATCCCTTCTAGCTCCATCCATGTTGCTGCAAAACACATGTGTTTATCTTTTTTGATTGCTGAGTAATATTCCATTGTGTATATGTACCACATCTTCTTGATCCAGTCATCTATTTTTGGGCATTTGGGTTGTTTCCACAGAAACCCCACTGAATGGGAGAACATTTTTGCATACAACGCTAACGATAAAGGACTGATCACAAAAATCTAGAAAGAGCTGATGAGACTCAACAAAAACAAAGAAAATAAACCAGTCAAAAATGGGCAGAAGAGCTAAAAAGAAACTTCTCTGAAGAGGAAAAGCAAATGGCCAACAGGCATATGAAAAAATGTTCAACATCACTTGTAATCAGGGAAATGCAAATCAAAACTACCATGAGATACCATATCACACCAGTGAGAATGGCACATATTAAAAAAACTAGCAACAACAAATGTTGGCGAGGATGTGGAGAAAAACGAACTCTCCTGCACTGTTGGTGGGAGTGAAAACTGGTCCAACCACTATGGAGAGCTGTGTGGAGATTTCTGGACCTACTAAACATAGAGCTTCCATATGATCCAGCAATTCCACTCCTCGGTATTTACCCTAATGACACAGAAGAATTTGACTAAGATTTTTTTTTATCTTTTCAAGAAAAAAATTAATTATAAAAGCATAATTATTGACCATGACAGCCTTCATGTTTCCCTCAACTTGACCATGCTTTTGACAGACTTATTCTAAAATGGGCACCTGACCTCCCTTTTCTTAAAGCATTTACTTCAGAAATTTTACAACTGTAATTCACTTTCTACATTTTTAAAATATGCATCTTCTACACCTCAGAAATGCCATGCTTGAATAAATGGGTATTATATCTTTGAAATGAAGTAAGTACAAATGGTAGAACTGACCAAATTTTCTCCAACATCTTCCAGATTTATTTTTTTCAGCATTTAAAAATCTTTCCACTTTTTTTCCAGTGGATGTGATGTCACTATCTCTATTTTTGCAATAGTCTTGACCACTATTATAATCACCTTAAATGAAGCTGCCTTTCCATTTTTAGTCAGTGTCCAGTGTGATTTTTCTTTTATTCTATTTACAGCAAGAGCTTTAAAAGCTTAAAAGCAAGAGATATGAAAGCTATAAAGCTTAAAATCTATTTCATAAATAGAAATAAAAATGTAAAAAGAATTTGTGAAAAGGTAAGGATGATAGAGATTTTAGGAAGTTATTATGATTTAGAGTCTTTAAAGTAAGATCATTTAGTTAACACCTATGTGAATCTGAAGTTAATACTGCACAGAAAGCTCTAGAACCTTAAGTAGAGCACCTAATATCTGTGTACCTTGCATTCCTCACTCATGAAATGGAAAGAATACCAATTTTACTATAAGACTTAAGAATAGTCAGAAGTTATTTGGTACTAATGAATTGGCATGTGTAATGTTTTAAATGTCTATAAGTTAAATCATTCTTTTCTCACATAGTTAGGTGGTATTTTTCTCAATTTTACATGTGAGGAAACTAAAGTATGGAGATAGTAATTATCTTGATAAAGGATATTACCTCATAAATGACTGACCTGCAGTGAGAGTGCAAGAACTATATTATTTTAGTGAAGTAAGCAATATTTGTGAAAGTGCTTTCAGACTGAAAATATCAAATATAAGAAAAATAAGACATTCAAAAAAAACAAATGTCTAGTCTGGAAAATAAGGAAAACTAGTTGGTTTCTAAAACTGTTCTGATTGTATGCATTCTGGCATGTGGGTAATAATAAACAAAAACTCTATAAACTGTACTTTCCTGACATTATAAAAGAACATATGTCTGTATCACTTTTTCCTACAGCTTAAATATCTACATTCTGGGATCAGAACCATCATCTCTCAGGGAATATCGTTCTTCATAATACTGAGAAGGACAGATGGGAATTTGTGACTTCTCTCCTCTGAAAGCAAAGAAGAGGAAGCCTTGATGCTGTGAACCTCTCTTGGTTCCTCTGGCTGGCACCTGCCCACGGCGACCTCTTGGATCTCTCCCCAGAGCCTCCTCAGCGACTATCCTAAAGATCAGGTCTCTGCTACACACATCTGTCACCATATTCCTTGTGCTTTTCAGGCAACAGACTTGGTTGGTTGGTTGGGTTATTGGAAATATTGATAGTTATTTACAAAAATGCACTAGTGCACATAAGCTTTGTCTGATTTGGGGATTTTTTGTTCTATTGACTTTTTTTCTTGCTCATTGCTTTTCAGTTATTTTCATACTTCTTAACATATTCTGTAGGACAAGCAAGGAGACATATGCAAACTTAAAAAGAAAACATACAAGTATAATTGTAAGCAGGTGTCTGACAAGGTGAAGCTACAAATGAAAGAGTTCTGGGGTGTGACTTCTACTCAAGGGGTGCGGGGTAATTTCCTGTGTTTTATGTGCTGTTCTAGTCTTAGAATTTTTTTTTTTTTTACTAATGAGCATGTTTTTTTATGGTAATAGTAAATAAATATTTATAATAACACCTTGGAAATGCATTAAATGTTAGCTTCAGGTTTTAAAAAAAAAACTATCTTTCAAAACATAAGCAAAATGTTCAGTTTCTTTTTCATGTTTAATATTGATTCTATCTGAATGCAAAAGACTGGCTCAACCTTGGAGTCTAGAAAATAATCGGTTAGCCATTAATTGAATAGACTAAGTTGCATTGCTCAAAATTGTGTACTTGCTTCTATAAATATTAGTAGTAGCATTAAAAGTTAGAAATCAATGCTCAGGTATTGTTAAGTACAAGTATTTTAGTGAACACCCAATATGCTCCTAGTCCTGACTATTATATCATGTGTGACTCAGTTCTAACTAAATTTTTATGCCATACAACAAGCATCAGGATGATCCATTCTTTGTGAATGTAGATATTTATCACATATAGATAAGCATACAAACATTTATATGAACACTAGTACTGTATAAGATAATTCAGAAAAAGAAAATAACATTCAGAAAAGAAAATAATAAGAGAAATGCCAAACAGACTAGAAAATGTTTTTAAAACATTCTAAGATTTCTGGAGGCCTGTGTTCCTAGTAGGAAACTGAAAGGTAGATAAGCTCTAGAAATTCTGGCTTTAAATCCACATACAATGTAGTCACCAAGAGAACCTAAATGCTTCAGTAAAACTCATAATATTTTAAATGTAGGGCATGGGGGGATGTGAAATCTTTTATCCTCTTGGAGGAAAGTAAAGTGTTAGTGATAGGCACAGCAAGGAAGATCATTTCTAGGGAGGCTGGAAAGGAAATGATACCAAGGAGCCAATAACAAAAGAGGGAGAACCAGGGCAATACTGATGGCTGCAGTCATACATGATCGATCATGGACTGGTGGGAAAGCCAGGAACTCAGTTTGCACTCACAAAGTGAAAGACTTTAAGTCCCACTCCTTTGGTTCTGAATATTAGTGCTTTACCGAAAAGAAAATGCTTCTATGGATTCTGATACCATAAATGGAATTATGACACAGGTACATACCACTCAATATACTAAAGAAATTGAGAGGAATGTGGAGACAGTGAGAGCTGGAGTGGCAAAGGGCTTTTCCATGCAGGAAATGGAATCTGAGCAGGGCACTGGTGAATGGGCAGACATGGGCAGGCAGACACTGGTGAGGGAGAATTCAGTGAGGTGAAGTAACAGTAGAGGCGAGGAAGAAGTAATGTGGGAATATCAAGCTAAATAGAGGGAAATGAGACTTTTTCTGTAGGTGGCGCAAATAATATTTGGCCTGTACAATTTTATTTATTTATTTTTTTTAAATATTTACTTATTTATTCATACAAGCACTGGGTAGTCAGAAGAGTGGGAGGGTGAGAGAATTCACCAGAGACAGAGTGGGGAGAAGAACAGGCAGACAGATGGAGGACACTGCCGAGGGGAGCAGCAGGCGGCATGCCATGTGGGACCCTCCCCAGTGGCCGGGGATCGAACCGGCGCTGAAGAGACTGCGGGCAGCTTCGCAGCCCAGTGCTCAACCGCTGCGCCACCGGGGAGGCCCTGGCCTGTATAATTTTAAAATGGACTTCTAAACAATATCTTCAAGGGAAATGAAAATGACATGTTTTTTTTTTCCAACCAAAATGACAAATGGAAACTTTTCTATTTCATGTAAAAATACTGATTTTTTTAGCTTACAATTTTTTTACAAAAGCTAGACAGAGGAGACAACAGGGCCCACCCCATGAGTGAAGCCCTCATGTAAAATATCTTGGTTCATGTTATAATAAGCATTACTGTAGTTGTATTTCAAGTATCTGTGCACAACTGTGAGGAGTTGGGAAGAGGGAGAAGAGAGCAATTCAATAGCTTGTTTTTCCTAGGCTTTTTCAAACAGGCAGTTCTCACAGAACAGGACATTGTCAGTGCTCACCTCACATTAAATATGCAGTGAGGAGAGTAGGATTATAATTTTAATCAACATGAAATATGTTAAATTAGTTACAGAAAGACCATTTATTATTCTTTTTCAGCAATATATTATGGATATTTGTGTCTTAAACCCTTAATCAATCATCATAAATCAGCAACCTTGAATTCTGAGATATTCAAAGAAAACTCAGTGGGAGAAACTTCCAAGAATTAACTAGAACAAAGTAATTTTTTCCTTGTTTGCTAATTAATTGAAATTAATGCAGTTATAGACATTTCCCATTTTCATATCTACCACAAGGTTCACCCATAGTTATATCCATTTATTCGGATTATCATTTTATGATATTAAATATCTTTCAAGACCCAACTTAAATTACTCTCCCTACATAAATCATCCTTGACAAATCTAGGCTCCATTAATCTCTCTCTCTCAGACTTTTTTTGATCTTAAGACAAAAAGAAAAATTAAAACAACTGAGTACAATGATTTATGAATCCAGGTACTGGATTTGGATATACTTCGGTTTCGAACATCCTCTGCTAATTACTTAATTTCCTTTAAGACTCAGTTTTTTCTCTTTGATAGAATGAAAATGTTAGCAATTCTTAGGGTTGTTATATGAATTGAATGAGATCATTTTCCTATATGAATTGAATGATGATTAACTATAAACTTAGTAATGTGAAGCATTTTTGGTAATAACATTAGTATTACAATTAAGCTCTCCAGACACAGAAACTTGTAGGAATGGAATAACTTTTGATATCCACTACAATGAAAAGTAATGACTATGATGCTTTTTTATGTTAATAAAAATCCTAACCATCCTTTGTTACACAGCTCAAATCTTATATCTAGCATTAAGACTCACAAATTCTTCAGTAGCCATTAATCTCCTTTGATTTATCCTGTATTTTTTTTTTCAAATAATCTTCAAAAGTCATGTTATTGTGTGAATATTGGAATTTTGAGATCATATCCCCAGGAATCATCATTAAATCCATATTAAATTTCTTTGCATTAAAAAAAAAAAACAATTGTACTTCTAAAACATTGAAAACCAACTCTGACTGAGGTTATTTCAAGCTAGGATATTTTCCTCCTGTCATTTTAGTATATGCAATGAGATAGCTGAGAAAGTGTTTCAAAGTTTGAGTGATACTGAAGGATTTAATCATAATAGTTCTACTTCTTTTATAAGGGATTTCATATTGGAATATCTGAGGAATTTAACTTCTTTGTGTATGAAAAATCTCATTTATAGAATGGTGCTACCTATATCTATAGTTACAGAACCACTGGTAATCTGTGATGGCATGTAGAACACCTGGTATTATGTGTAGCACATTTCAGATTCTTCATATATTTTAGATTGTAAGAAGTCACAATCATCAAAGAATACAGATGCCCAGATGACTTGCCCAAGGCAGTGCAGCTAACATTAGAACCCCAGCTTCCTGAATCCATATTCAGATCACCCTTGGGTAAGCAATTAAAAATACCTTTTAAATATTTCATGTGCTATGGATGAAAGTGCATCATTTCAGTACTAGCTCATTGGCAGAGTTATTTGTAGCTGATTAAAATGATGAAAAAGTGAAGTAAATAGCCCAAATATCTAACATAGGTTTTTTTTTTTTTTTTTTAAAGGTCAATGTTCCAGAGATATAACTGGCAAGGAGAGCCAATATATTGACAATTATCTTATCCTACTTAGGAGTTTTGGTCTGATATTTGCTTGATTCCTAGTATTTCATGTTGCTGCTTTCCAATACAGTATGGCCCTAAATTTATTCTGATGTTTTACTTATTTAAGGAGACTGTCGATCTACTTTTCATATGCATTACTATTTACTTAAGGTTTTTAAAGTTGACTTTTTATTCCAGAAGCAAATATATTTATAGAAGAATTTTATGTCACTACTATTATACCTTTATAACTACTTTAATAAAGTCACTAAAATGCATATGCAACCATCAAAACAGATATAAAATGTACATGTATATTTATTTAGATGTGCTTGTCTTTCTTGGTTAGTTCATATAAGCATAGTTGGGAACCTAAGTTTGCCAATTAGGTAAAGTGACACTGATTTGCAGTACTGCCAGTCATCCTGCTTCATCCAGGTATCCCTCTGGAACTTATCACTAGGCTTTTATGTGAACTCTGCTCTAATCAGATAGAGCTCCTCACTCCCACCCACACATCCTCATCATCATTCTCAATGTTATGACTTCATATTACACCTGAAAAGATTATCACCTCTCTTTCTGTCTATCAAACTCGTCGATTTTTCAGATCCAATCTTACCACTTCCTTATGGCCCCAAATTGCTTTATCCTCATCTTGTTCAGAGTTTATACAGCTCTTATTACCATCATACTAGGTCATCACAGAATTTCAAAGAATTAGCCTCAAGAGTTTATGAAATTTATTACATAGGAAAACTGAAGTCTCCAAGGAAAAAAATGCAATTTCCAAATATGGGGAAGACATTTATTTTAGCTTTTGTACTGGTGTTTGGTTTTTATCCAGAAATTGTCTGCAAGACCAATGTCTAGCTACTTTCACCCCTTTTCCCTTCTAACACTTTTTTTTTAAGGAACTTTTTTTTAAAGATTATTTATACAAGCACTGGGTACAGTCAGAAGCACAGGAGGGGGAGAGAATTCACCAGAGCCAGAGTGGGGAGCAGAACAGGCAGACTGATGAAGTGCAGTGCTAAGGGGAGCAGCGGGCGCAATAGGAGAGGTCTGTCACGCCATGTAGGACCCTCACTGGTGGCCGGTGATTGAACCAGTACTGCAGAGGCTACAGGCAGCTTTGCAGCCCAGCGCTCAACCACTGCGCCACCGGGTAGGCCCCCTTCTAACACTTTTTATAGGTTTGGATGTTACACTTACTTCTAACTTTTTGAGTGAATATTTGTTATTGGTTTAAATATTAACATAGGACCATATAAACAAAAGATTGAAAGGAATCTCAGTATTTTTAAATAGTG